TAAACTGAAATTTTAAATACTTAAATTAATTTTATAATTGTGTATAAAACTTCAAATAAGAGACCATGTACAGATAATGAAGATATATGAATACAATATTAAACTTTTGAGTAAATTTTAATCAAATTATTTATAAATAGTACTGTTTAACACTTCTGATTTCTGTTTTTCTATTAATTTAAACAATAAAAAACATAAATGACTAAAATAATTTTAGTTGTAAAATCTTGTACTTTAACATTATTCACTAAAATTACCTTATGCCCTTTTTCTTGAATGAATTTTTGCCTTGCATATTCTTTACGCCTCAAATGTCTGTATACATGAAATTCTCCACTACCTGCACCTGCACTACTACCCATTACATTGCGAACAAATTCTGGTACTGTAGGTGTACTTTTTGATTTTGGTCGTTCTGGTAGTATAACAGGCTTTTCCTAGTGTAGTAAATAATTAAATGTTTTCTAACTAAGTAGAAACTTACTAGGATTATACAAAGATTTTACAGACTGCCTTACTTCAATTAATACATGGGAACATTGTTGAAAGTATCAATGACATAAAAAATTGTTTTAAATTGAGTCATACAAATCATTTCATGAGGGATATTATACAGGATGGAAAAAATGGGTTTATAACTTCCAAGGTAGATAATACTTGTGAAATTATAAAAAAAAGTTCTAATAAACATGGGTTGCAAAATTAATATTTTTGAAGTTATAAACCCTTTTTTTTATAATGCTGTATAATGAATCTAACTTTTAAATATTTGTGAAAGTACTTCAGATATTTAAAAGTCAGTACTATTTATTTAATACTTTTGTATAACTATATAGTTCCAAGACAAATAAAAGTAATGATTTGTATCTGTAAGAACATTCAAGATCATTTTATCAAAATTGTATGTACCAAATAAATTTTTAAGTTTTATATTTTGAGGAGTATCCATTAGCCTCAATATAAAGATTCACTTGATCTCTAAATTATTTTCCTACCATTTAAAAAATTTCATTAAAAATATAATAACATGCATCAAGTATTTGTTTTATAGATTTTTTTTTATACGTGAATATTTTCTATGTTTGAAACATTCATTTATATCACTAATACTTTCAAAAATATTTAGATATATTGATGAGAATGAGTTATTAAGTAGTAAATAATGATAAATGATAAAACAAAATAGTTATTAAACAATAAAGAAAGTCATGATTGCTAACAAACATTACACAATTTTATGTTACAAAGAAATCATTAACTTCTTATAAGACTTTAATAAAGTATACTTAGAGAAGAGTTTGTATAAACTTTTTGTATTTATTTGACTTCTTTAACTCCTACTTATTTAACTTCTTTTATTTCAGTGACTTAACCTTTCTAAACATTCTATGTATACAAAAATAATTCCACATACAACAAAATATATTCAATACATACTATTTAATAAATTCCATTTCCAATGTATGATAAAAATTGAAAGAAAACACAATACAGTGAAAAAGCTTTAAAAGTTTTGACATATTTACCGGATTCTTCATTAACTTTTGAAGTTTTAATCGTTGTAAATCAATTGCTGTCTTTGCAACAACAGGTTTTTCTTCTTCTCTTTCTTTATTTTCTGGCATAATGATATATTATTATACGAAAAATAATTAATATTATAATAAATATTCACACTTCTTATCAAACCTTAACAGTGAGAGGTTATCTATATAACAACAAAACAGAATTATATCGATATGAAGTTAATACATTGTTATATCAATTCTTAGCAAACGAGAAATTAAAAATGTTATTAATGGAATAAAAAAATTAATATGTACTTGTAAAAAGTTTTAAAATATTTAGACACTAGAGCAATTAACTTTTACAATAACACTAACTTTTAAAATATTATAAAAAATTTGTTTTTATCATATATCACATTTTTCAATAGACTTAACCTTTTGTTTATTTATACACTAATCATTTTATTATAAATTTGTATCTTCGTACTGTTTTTATTTATAGTAAAAAATACTTAAAATTAAATAATTGATATGCGTATGATACATTTCAATTATATATTTAATTCACAAATTTTATTAACAATTACGTTTATTTTATTGATGATTAAATTTGGTTACAAATATGTTTATTCACTTAACATTGTACAAGGACGCTCATCACCTTTACTGAATCCCCAGAAGTAACACAACGAACAGTCACAGTGGTGCTATCTGATATGACATATTTGCCATGTGGCGCCCTATATGTAATGTGAATGCTGAAACGCGCCGAATACAAATTGTGTAGCGGTGTAGCCGAAGCAATGAGCAAAAAACTCGATAAAAAAAAAATATATATGTATATTGTAAAATATCATTGACTACTATTTGCAATTGCTCGTTTAAATAAATGTTTATCGTCGTTGCTGTGCACAGAAACATTGATAAGGTGTAAAGCACTCGTTTTAAAGGAAGTATATATTAATAAATAAATGCGGGATATCAATCAAATTTATCCTTAAATAATTTTATATAGAATTTTTAATTTAATAGAAAATTATTATTTAACAAAAACATGTTAACATTGAATAATGAATATCGACGACATTTGAACATTCATTCGTTTTTCCTTGTTCAAAGAGTTGAGACGTATTATTTTGTAATAAAAGAAAATAGTTAAAACATTTTGTTCGTTCTTATTCTTATCAAGTTATTTATTGTTCTGTAAAAGATTCAGCGTTAGATTTTCTCATTCATAAATTTATTAAACGACCATGAACAGAGCGCTTTAGCGCTTCATGGGCGACAATTCCCTCAAATTCCCCAAGAATTCACGCAACAACTCAAGTGTGTCATATAAATAGCGTATTACATATTATTATATCATAAATGTTTGTTCTAAAATGAAAAGAAAACACAGAAGTACTAATAAACTTTTTTACCTAGTAAAAAGGGCAAAATAAAATTTTTCTTTTTAGTGAAATTTTCCTTCGTGTAGCAAACTATGTTACTAATAATTCTGAAATGATCCAGTTGGTAACGGCAATAGTAGCAGAAGGCTTTCAATATTGACGCTTATCGAGAATCTTATAATTGTCGAAGACTGAACAAATTCTGCTGTCAAATTCGAAGTAATTTTGTCGTCACAAATTGCATTATTATTTATTCTATAAACGATGTCAGATACGGTAATAGATGAAAGGTAATTTTTATTCAATGTTATACTCTGTGTTTTGCGGATATTCAATTTTTCTACTATGTATTAAAATATTTTAGAGTTACTGATGAAATTGAAGCATTAAAGGCCATTCTGCTTGACGATGAGTTAAATATAAAAGAAAATGATAGGTAAGTTTTTTCCATAAGACAGTCCATGCTTGTAACCTA